CCCTCCCGCCCTATCTTGCTGCGCGTGATGTCACACTGACATCAGCACCAGCAGTCCCCCAGCCAGCATCTTGCTCTAGACTAATAAGCCCCTTCCATGCACACAATCACGCACAGCTGGAGCACTGGACGATCTCCGGGAGCAGCCGCAGCTTCGATTTGATCAGCTGCAAATATCAGACCCTCGTCTCTACTTTGAAGGCGCCCACGCCAGCCAACACGCCCCAGGCAGCGCCCCCGCCCCCGCCACTGGGGCCGCGGCCACCACTGGGGATGCTGGCGCGGCGCAGGAGGAGCAGCGGCAGCGTGGGGCTGGTGGGCCGGAGGGCGCCGCGGAGGCGCTGCTGCGGGTCGACCCGCGGCGGCTGGCGGACCCGCCTCAGGACCCACGGGTGGGCCAGCAGGTGGGTGACATGGATTCGGGGCCGGTCCGTCGTGCGAGGGAATTCCTGCAGTCACGGCACCGCGGGCGCAGGGACGGCGAGCGAGATGCCTGCAGCTAGGCGGCCCCTGAGCAGCCCGCGGCCCCGGCCGCGCGTGCCGCGGCGCGCGGCGGCGCACTGTGCCGAGTCACTCCTGTTTTGCAACAGCACATCAACCCGACAGTGTTCATCGTCCTGAGCCCTCTGCGCTCATTGCATCTGGAGCGCATTATGTCTTTTGGTCGCATCATGTATTTCGTTCACGACCTGCTGATGTCATTTTATCATCACCGCCTCACCATCATCATCACCACCATCGCTCGCTGACATCATGTCATCATCATCACCGTCATCAGGTCCTGATTGAGCTGTCTGGAGGCGCGGGGGCCCTCAACGGCCTCGAAGCCGACGGCCGCCCCACGCGCCACCCGCGCGCCGCCATCGCCAACTGGGAGCAGGACCTGCGTGAGGGCCCTGGGCTGCGCCGCGCCGGCCTGCCATGTCCGCGCCCGCGCCCGGGGGCCGGCGCCAGCTCGCCTGGCCCCTGCAGGGGGCGCCGGGTCCTCTGGGCGGCGGGGCGCCGCTGCCGGCCAAGGCGCCAGCGGCGTGCTCCCTGGCTGCAGGCTTGGGTACCTGTTGCGTCCACATGCCCCGTTCGTTCCATAACACACACACACACACACACACACACACACACACTCACTCACACACACACACACACACTCTTACACACACACACACATCTCCCAAATGCATGCAACGCGCAGGCAAGCACGCCCTCATCGTGAACGAGCTGCTGCGCCACTTCTGGGGCTGCATCCCCTGCAACAGCGAGGCCAAGCGGCGCAAGATGGACAAAGTGTTGGTGAGATGGGGTCGAAGGGAGGGCCGGCGCTGGCTTCCGGCTTGCTTTGCTGAGCACCAGGGCTGCGCCGCCGAGTTAATCGCGCTGGCATACTCGCCCTCAGCTTCCCAACCCCCATGTCCAACAGTCATATCGCGGTACCTACTCCCCACACCCTGCCCCCTCTGCGCCCACCAATCCGAACTCACCCTGCAACCTCGACCCCTCCAGTCTGGCCCAGAACCCCACGCCTGGTAATCGACCCTTGTCGCTAAGGCCTTCACCCAACCCACTCTCCCCCCAATAGGAGCAAATGGACCTGTCCTACCGGGACCTGAACGCGCTCCTGGAGCGCAGCCGCGGCGAGGAGCGCGCCTACGTGTCCCAGATCATCCGCCCGATGCGGGAGCAGCTGGACGCGGCCGAGGCGGCGTCGCGGCACGTAAAGCGGATGCTCAGCCAGAAGACGCGGCAGGGGACGGGCGGCGGCGGCGGCGGCGGCGCCGGCGGCGGAGCGGGGTGACGGTTCCTGTCGGGGCGGCCGGCCTGCCGTGCGGGTGGGCGCGCGTATGACATGGGAATGGCGGGTGACGTTCCCCCCGGTAATGGAATCGCATAAGTGGTCAAAAGGTTCAGGGTTGTCATCGCATGCTTCGCCTCCATAAACCCCTGCAGTTCATCATAGACAGGCGGACACCCGTTGTGCAACTGTTCGTGAGAAACATTTGCTTGACTGCAGCAGGATCAGCAGCAGCTATAGCAGAAGCAGAAGGGGTTGCAAGAACCAGCTGCCGCAGCCGAGGGTCAAGTCAGCCGCTACACACCGGCCTTGCGCAACTCAGCGTTCACTTGCATTCCGTTCCATCACCGCCATTCATGGTGTCCTCCACAGATCGCGTCCGCCACAGCTGCGCATGTACAGAAATCTGTCAAGCTTTCAGCCTTGGTTTGTGAGCAAATGGCGGCAGGATGCTGACCTTTTGCGTGCTTGAACTGTATGATTCTGCTGCCAAAGACAATTACAGCATTTGCATGCATATGCTGCTGCCACTGGATGCTGCACTCAGGGCCCCACGGGCCGATGCAAATGGAACTTTGAGTTTAGTGGCTTGCATTCAAGTGCTTGAATTGCATTGTAAGTAGAGTGGGAGTGGCCCTGAGTTGCGAATCCCACACGTGGATAACGCTTGCAGCCTGTGGGTAGCCCCAACAGGCGCTGCCATGCTTTTGTGTGTCAAAGACGGGCCACACCAGGCAACGCGGGCAAAGGCCTCCTCGTGCAAGCCAAAAGTGGCAGATTGTTGGAGCTCAGTGCGTCAGAGGGCAAGATTTAGGAGGGAGGGGCTGCATACCTCGCGGGCAGTGATTTGGGCAAGCCTGCAAAAAGGGCTGGCCGCATGCAACAACCTGGACGGACTAGTGGGTCAGAAGCGCCTGCGCATGCACTTGAAGTGGGAAACCAAAGTCGGCTTTGTCCATCCAAGTTTAATTGGCAGGAAAATGTCCAGACGCTTTGAGGGGATCACAATAGAGCCGACCTCGGCGGGTCTCAACCAAGACGCAGGCAAACACAGAGGGAAAAAGTTGGCGGCAAATGTTTAGGCCGGAAATCCAGCCATGGCTGTGCACCTCACGCTAGGGCTGGCGCTCAAGGCTGCCGGTCTGAGCGTGCGTCGACACCTCGCCTCTCTCAGCCCCGCCCAGCAGATGCGGGCATGTCAACGGCACCCTCGCTACGGTTTGCTGACGTCGGATGACGTCATGATTTGGCAAATGGCCGGGAAGATGGCCGGTGTCGCTTCGTAGATGTAACTTCAGGCGACGGCAAGCCCTAAACAACGCGGTAGAGGCCCACACCCCCGGCACCCGACTCGTACGCCGCGATCACCAGTGGGAAGCTGGTGGCGCCATTGGTGTATGTGGCAAAGGAGATGCCTTCCGGGCCGCGCAGGCCGGTGGGGGGTGCCGCGAAACTCTGGAACACGGGGCCGGTGCCTGCATGGGTTTGATGCGGGGATCAGCGCAGCACGATCGACACACGTTGGTCTTGCCCAGTGTTGCTATGGGCAGGTTGTTTCTCTCCTTGCAAATGACGTCATACTGTATGCTCAGATGTTCAGGGCGTGCAACGACTGTTGATCGCAGCCGGCCATGAGCCCGTTGGACCTGCACTGCTGATGGCCTAAGCCATACGCGCCCACACGTAGCCAGATGTCTACATACACCACACCCACATGAAC